GTCCAAATTCCCCACGGGGTGCAGCAGGGGGCACGGCGGTGGTTAGCTGTCAGCCACCCCTCCTCCTTACCAACTCACTCAGGTAGTTTAACTTCCTCGGGCGCGCGGAAGTGGATTACATGACAGCTAGGTCGGCACCTCTGATGAGGGCGTGTGCAGCCGGGGTGGCGCTCTTCTTGGAAGTGCAACATTCCAGTGCAGCGCCCCTCAGCTGTATTGATGTCAGTGGAGGTGTGCTCGTTTACATGACGCGGTGGATCTCCATCTTGCTCCCCGGTTCTCCCCGAATCCTTCTCGTATTCGCATGAAAGTTTAAATCACCTCTAATGTCCCGAGAATAGCGGGCATAAAACGCAATAGGAGCGTCCGAAGGGCATGTCTAATACCCGCGTCCATTCAATAATACTACACGGGAATTGGACCTAGAATATTTATAAGGGCTATCAATTTTTGAATCTTTATTGAGCGAATCACTGCAAATCATCGCTTGGTATTGGCGGCAGTAGGGGATAGACCTGGCCATTTGATACCCCACGAAGGCTGGAAAGGCAACGCTAATGTTTTCCCAACGTCACAACATTAGTAAAAGTCCCGTATAGTAACTGAAAATGAGTTTGCGAATAGGTTAGGCCGGTGGGATAGAATTGTCATTTGGGGACGCCTTCTGGGAGTGTTGGCTCCAGCACCTCTATGAAAAAGGCATTAACACTGGCGGGCTACATTCAAGGGTTGGGTCCTCGATCATCGTTAACGTTCACAGCAAAGCTATCCGGAACTAAATCATCCATTTACACAAACCAGTGACTCCTAATGAGAACTGGGGGAAGTGAAGTTTATCTAGATACAACGTCCCCCCGTCTTATGGACGGCCAAGGCGTTAACGTTTGGAGAGTAGCGTGACCTTCTCAGAACTCAAAAGTCCCTAATGTGTCAATAACGAGAGACTAGTCGTGTTTAAATGAATAATGCCTACAAGCTACTTTTCTATAACATGACTAGACAGACTTAAATCTTACAAGGGATATTTGTCAAGTCATATCTAGCTGAGTAATAGGAGTAACGAGAGGTGATCATGGCTATTTTGTCTGTTTAATTTCATTACAGTATTTTTCGTCAAATATGTGATCCCATCGGACATGTTCTTCGTCGTTTTATTGGCAATCTTGCATAGTGTTTGAAAAAAAAAGGTTTGGCTATTTAACGTTTAGTTAGGCGAAAGGCACTGGTAAACCTTGGGCGAATCCTGCATATGTACTGCTGATGATGCTATAAAACGCCATACCACCATCCCTACCTCGCCCCTAGCGAGAAAACAAATCTAGGATGTCTTATTTGACGAGTCAGGTAGAGAAAAAAGAGGCCAGGGACGGGGTTTTTCCACCCAGGCAGAGATACTATCTCCGATACACCATTATTCCAGCCTGCCTGCTGCGCACACGGCACGGTAAATGAAGACCAGATATCCTGTGTAGACTTCCGTTCTTTCTGCTCCATTTCGTGCGAGCGCATCAATTATTTAAGCTCTTGCAATCGACGTGAATTAACCAAACTGTCCCGGCAGGGACTCCTGTCGACACTGCCTACACATCTGGCCAAGAAGGTGAAGTTCACTCACCTTATATAGTATATACCCTCATTTGTTTTCTTTTATATCTTATATAATGCAGTGGAAGACGAAAATCATTTCATCTCTAATTGTTCGTTTTAAGATGATATCAGAAACCAATTATTTACGAAAATACACCCTTACTTTCCCACTCTCCCTTACCATGAGAAATAAATTCTACTTCTTAAATCAAAGAACCCTCAAATCATAGAAGTGGGTACATTTGCCCTGCATTGCCTCAAAAGAAGAAGTCAAACCCAGTAAAATTAGTACCATGTATGTTCTAAAATGTAGCATACCTAAATTTTACGTACCTGCACCACTCAGAATGTAAGTATGATAAGTATGGATCATACTAAAAGTGTTCTGAAACCATTGCCATTATGTCTTTTATACTTCATAGGGAGTAACTGTGAATGCAGCACTACATGCCTACATGTACATGCTTTGACTACAAATTAGGGAGTCTACTACTACTTCTACACACAAACACTTTTGAAAATCGTCCTGTGCAATGGAATTGAATATACATAGCTTCATGATGTAAACTCGCAAACCAACGTTAATGTAAGAATTCTAATATATGACCGATATATTCTCCCACAGATACATATTTAACGCACATCCCCACACATGAAATCAACATCTTTACGGCGTAAAAGTATATTAATACCTCGATCTGTCCTGAAAATTCTGCAAGGAAAATTTGCATCTAGATAGTAGACCAATGTGTTAGAATTATTAGCATTGTACCGACGACATAAGGCATAGAGTGATTTTGAAAGCAGTATAGATGGAAGCAAGATGTATGCAGGGAAAGCCCACGGGATATTGCTACATACTGGTGTAACGTTAAATCATACCATAGTTTGAACAGGAAAATACGGTAGCTTTTGACCAGCTGTCAAGAGGAAAAGAAAGCAATTTCTGTTCAGTCTAACAGGAAAACGTGTACTCTAAAGATAAGCAAAAAATTTATGGGGTCGTTGAACTGGGAATTCTCCTTTCCCTTGGGGCCTTTTTCAGTTATGAAAATAGCGTGGACTATTCTAATTCATCATTTCAGGAGCTGAAGATATATATTTTAAGTTCGTGTTGGGTGCCATAGTGTGGAACCGGAATATCGAATCAGACATGTTAGACAACTACTCATAGTAACAAGGCAACACTTTCAAATGGTGTAATTGTAATTATATATCAATTAACATTGATGTGCTGCACAATGAAATATATGTGTAATCGAACATGTAAGGTTGCGCTTTTACATACTGGAAGGGTTTTCCGAGTAGATTTAAAAGTGATTATAATGCATTGGATAAGATAATAACATAAATAACACAGTATTGTGACTGTATGCTATGATTGAGGTCCTATACCTTTAACCACGTAAGTTGTGAAGAATTAAACTTTAATGTTGCCCACCCTACACTAACTATGACTGATGTTCAAACACCATGTAACGTGTCACACAGACGGCCAACACGGCCCTGCTGACGTCACGTCAGGTCATGTGACATGTGATAAGGTTAATGCAGAATCCCTACCCAGGATTACGCAGGGCTGCTAAAAGCTATCCTAAAAATTTACAGGTCCATCCAGCGTTTTCATTGCCGTCAGAGGAATACGCAGATGGATTTTTGTGTTTTCAGAAAAGCTATCCACAGGGGACAGGAGTAAGGGCAGCGACAAATCACAGCGAATGTTGGAACATAACGTCAAAAGGATTTGGCCTTACATATGCCATGTGTTTATATAGCAAAAAGCTCCATGTTGGCATCCCAGGATAAGACAGAAATGAAGTAATGGGACTTCAAAGGGAGAACCACTGCGGGAGTGAGAAACTACGCACGGCCCCAGGTCTCCGCGGGACATGAGAATGGTCATCTGAACGTGTTGACTTAGTCAACATGACGCCATGTCAGTGGGTGTTAGGAGACAGTAGTCTACGGACCAGGGCCTGGGTGGATGCTGATGGTACCGTTGGGTATCGTTATGGGACTATCTACGGTGCCTTACGTGTGATTAGTTATGGCACTTGGTTCGGCTGAGGCGTACAACTTTTAGTTCACCTTGTTCTGACCTTTCCTACCTTCACATCTAGACATGCCAAATGCGATAGCTTTTCACATCGGATGCCATGCACGTATGTTGTCAAAGTAACTCAATGTAACTTATTAATGACTTTAATTCTTTAAAAAAAACTTAAACTAAACCGGACCAACGAAACTACATCGTGGAACACACACACACACACACACACACACACACACACACACACACACATATATATATATATATATATACATATGTGCACCCCGGTCAACCATGGCCGAACCTCGGTTAGTGTTTGGGTGGAAGTGTGACAGGGGCTTAAGCTAGTACAACGTTCACCCCCTTGTTGTATAAGGTGATTTGATTGGTCGACGACTTATCTCATGTGATGCCATTTTGAGAACCCCACCCCTCACGCAATCCCTCCGAGTGCTAATGCGTATGTCGCAACACGTGGTTAAAGCTTCACATAATCTCCCTTACATACGTCACTGTGGTGATGAATTATCTCTCTTATTAATAAGAAAGGAAGACCAGATTACACTGTAAGCCGGTTTAAATCTTCCAGTGAGTGCGGACGTGTTTAAGGCAGTTTGCAAGATTTTGTTAGAAAAAAAAAACATCTATGTCCAATACACAAGTTCGAAAACTTGATTAGCTGGTAGGAGCAAAGCTCGGCGGCTTAATGAAGTACCAAAACGAGAACGTTTGGAAGCTAGCCTTGGGACATCCCAGGGCAAGACGAATGAGGATGAGGGCCGCCTCGCGATGCGATCTAATCAATAGTCCTTGGAAAACCTCATTTCTACAGTCTGCCCTGAGGAAGATGGCGCTAGACCAACAGATAAGAGAGAAAGGCAGAGGCACGGGCGGCAATAGTTCTCTGGACCATCCCTGCCTAGGGTAATTGGTATGACTATTGGTCGATTTCCACAGGGATGAAACCTACGCCAGCGTGAAAAGGACCTTTGCAGCTTCTGCTAATAATAGACCGGGGGAATTAGAAGCCATGTACGTAACATCACGGTCTTCTCTGAGCTTGCAAGAGAACGGCAATTTGACTACTTCTGTTATATCATCAATGTGGGTGTAATGAAAGCCACACTTGCCGTTTTACCATGTGTATACATGGGTAGATCCGATAAACTGTTTCCCATGGTCACAAGTTACACTTCTGGGTAGGATGTGGTGAAATTAAAGGATCAACAATATCAGTTCAAGGCATTGATTCTGCACAAGTACATACCTATGGAACCACTTATACCTATTGTTGGATATTTAATGTTTACTAGTCTACTTAACCTTATACACATAACATTGATTTCAAGTGGCGATGTCTCACCTGCTATGTCACCAACTGCGGCATCTTCCAACGTGCGTTCTGCAAAATAGCAAAAAAGGGCACCAGTGTTGATATAAAATAATACAATTAAAGAAACGGATCAAGCACTGATACTGCTCTTCAGTATCTTCACATCAATGAGATTATGTTATGCGCCTTAATCTGATAATACAGAATGGAGATGGCTTTGTAGCCAAGATATGAGATGTTATGTATCTATTACAATATAATGACAATGCAACGCTTTTCATATTTGGCTTTGCTCAATCTTTAAAAAGAGATTCTTAAAAATGTCCTTGACCGAAATGAACTCTAGAAAGGTGAGCAAAGATAACCTTTCACTCCAATACAAAAACATAATCCCTTGACTTGGCAAAATTAATGAACTATAACGTCTCCTATTAAATCTCTTATGAATCTTCTTCATGTCAACCTCTAACTCAAGCATGACGGAATTGGGCCATGACCATACCTAGATATCCCACGAACTTTTAACATTACAGAATGCCTCAATCATTCATAGGTTTTGTTATCTGCTACATCATTGGAATGATATAATGACATAACCTCTGAAAGCATTGTATCACTGCAAACACAGCTAACCAGTAAGTTCTGGGAAAAACGTTCAGCTATAAGGTTTATAGAATGACGTAGTGCCTGTACAGTGTAATCATGACGTGAAAATTGGCCGCCATGTTTGGTTTTGTCTGGTTTATTTGGATCTCCATTAGTGACAAGTCATTAGTCTTCCTAGAGTCCACATTAACATATTACAAAATATAACAACAGAAATGCACATCAATATATACAATGGAATTAACAAAAATCACCATAAGCTGTACTGAAAATTGGAATGATAATCATAATAATTTGAATCATTTACACGACAAAATATCAATTCGGTTTAACAGAGAAATTTATAACGAAACTCAAAGTCAAAGCTGCCAAGTGAATACGAAATGTGTATACATGTACCGTGGTGCTTTATACGACATAATTACAGTCACTCTTTGACTTTCAGACATCGATATCATTGTCAAAGAGGAGAATGCGGTAAAAAAGTTAGAGGGTGTCCGCTGCGTCAAACATGATCTGCCGGAGAAAATTGGGTTAGTTTGAAAAATGCCAAGTTTTATTCCGATCGATCTTCCAAATGTCACATTTAGGCTGATAATGACAGGATCGATAAATGCCGAGATCAAGAGCTGCTATGAACTTTGAATGAAGTTGAAGGAGTTTTGGTTATTCAATAGCCATTTTGACATTTCAGTGGCCAACCCTATCGTCTAATGATACTGTGTATGGGTGAGAGATTATTAGTCGGTACCATCATACAAGGTGCGTTTTTTAACCGTTGTACAATTTGAATAAATAATTAGTTGATATGTATGTTGATGTGTCCAAGTATGTACACACATCGGACAAAATAGAAAATAGTGGTAAGACATTTCAAGTATTGGACATAACTACAGTACACATGACAAATCGTTCCGTAAGTTGCTCTTTGAATCGAGCTACGAAGGTTTTGCAGATCTCTGAAGAGCAAAATTGCTACCCTTAACTTCACACACATACCGCGCCCGTTGCCATTCGTTACAACCGTGTTTCTAGAATGTTCCTTTTGAATGTGAAAGTGTTGGAGGTTCTTCTGGTCGCCAGGGGTCAGTAGTCATCCCCGTCTTCCATAATAACGCCGGTACAGAGCCATAAACTTGCCTGACAGGAGAATGTCCAGAACAGGCTCCGACCAAAACATCTAAAGATGCCGACCTGGCGCTCAGTGACCCCTGAACTCACAGGGGAGACATCTCGTGCGGGTAGGAGCTAGGTGGGTAATGCATTCACGCACTTAGAGCCTCATATGGCACAGTCCAAGCAACATATCTCCTGCTACTGCACACGCGAGCATGTCATAAGCTCCAAACAGCTTCTACATCCCAGATACCATCGGATTATAAATTAACGTGGATGCATTTTCACGTCGTGCATACACAGTGTGATGTTACAGATAGAGGAAGCGTAAAGATGTAAGTATAGATCGCATGGGATATTAAGGTTCTAAGCCTAAGGGCGTCACGAGGAATGGTATTTTGATACTTAAATAATATGAGACAAGGAAACAGCTAGCTACATATTTACTTACGTCTATTCTGTACGCCGCGTTTATGTAACGGTATTTTGCACGGAATGCTCTCATTCTCAATGCGCGGATCGATAAATGATAGTCGAATCGTCCATGCAAACAACCTTTGTAACCATACTGCAGGCTGTAAACCTAAAGGTGTTACCGTTATGTGTGAATGCAGCGAAATTATGTATCTAAGAATGGTCAAGACGCATGACGATATTGCAAGATTATTGCAGGTGCGGTGTATGTGGAAAAGACCAACATATATCTATAAAGCGCAACCGAATGAAGGCTATGACGAGCACAACAGACAACAGCAGACAGGCATGCTGTGTACGGATTACAACGGCAAATATCTTTACCCCGGGTCTCAGGTACAGGAGAAGTTGAAGAAGCGTCCCTCCATTTCTTCCGCCATTGTAAGAACGCGGGAGCTGAATCCGAGAAGGCTTTCTTCAGATGGCGCCGCCCTGCCTTGTACAGTACCGGCGCTTCACCACTAACACTATCGCGCAGGATAATATGTGAATAGCATTACGACCCTGACGTCACGGCAGGAAGAAGCATGGCGCCTGTATTTCGGCAGGAAGAAACCTGGCGGTTTTCCCGAATGTATATGGGAAGGGCGCCAGTGTGCAGGCCGTGGTGTGGACAGTGCAGCCGTCAGCGCACCGTTTGGCACGTACTCTGCAGGGAGACGGAATACCCGCCTTAGCGTGCCGGGGGAGCGCAAGACTGATGATGGGACCGAGAGCGGCTTCGTGACGTGACTACATAATCGTCCTGTAACCTGGGAACGAGTGACTACTGACAGAAGATTTTCGCTGGAAACGTAGCCTGGGTGCCAGACTGTTGCCAGGACAGTATACAGGCTAGCTCCTCGGCTCCGAAAATTTTACCATGATCACCCCCCCCCCAGGTGCCATCCCCCAGGACAAAGTAATGCACTTAATATTTCCATCCAGTCACCTTGATTTATATTACGTTCTGGCACACATGAGAAGAGACGGTATAGGCAGAGCTACATGGCCCTGTAAATGGGTAGTCAGGTCGACTTACAATAAACAATACACTATGTCGGTATAGCCATGCACACGCCTCCAAAATGCAAGAAAGCCAATGGTTGCGACAATGTAAAGCACTGTAAGTACATAAAATTTCGTCTTTTGTTCCTGGACCTGGTCAACAACTGTATAAGTTAAGGTCTATTTGCTACCAGAGATATCTACAATCAGGTGAACTTAAGATTTCAAGTAT